GGAGTTTCAATACTTAGGGACAGCCAGTGAGCAGATAAGAGAAAGCCCAGAGACACAAAGAGAAAAGGCAGTGGGAAGAAACCATGAGGCATGGTTGTTGTTGTCAAAACTAAAAGAGAGGAGTTAACTCCTCTCCTCTCTTTCATTCTTCAACCTCTTCAAACATGGATCAGTGAATCAGTCATATCCCAGGGTAGGGGGGCAGCAAAGACTGAGATCCACTGAGTTTCTGTATTTCCAGAGAGCTGGAAGAGGCACCCAAAGTCTCCCCTGCTAGTGAGGTGACAAGAACATCAGATTACATGAGGTTCTGGTTTCTGGAAAATCCTTCAGTCTCCATGGGGTATGTAACACCACTGCTGGCCTGCCTTCTTTGTCCACATGTCCTCACCATCCCCCCTGCTTTGGGAATGACAGAACGGCTCCCACAGCCAGAGAAGACCTAACATCAACCCAATGTAGCCAGGACATCTGGATGCAAAACTTGGTTTGGGGACCTCGGTCTCAGCTGGCAAGGAAAATCATTTCAATTTTCCAAATCTCAGTAGAAACAGAGACAGAATCGCCCCCTTTCACAAGGATAATGGACACAGAATTCCAAGTTGTAATGACATAGTAAGAACGGAGTAAGTGTGTGTGAATTGTGCATCTCTCTCTTGAACTTTGGGCCACTCTGAGAATATGCGAACATACTGAGATGAATTCATTCATTCATGCACTCATGCATTCTACTATTATCTGAGCACCTACTAGGCACCAGGCACTGCTCTGGGTGCTAAGGATGAGGCAGCAAACAAGAGATCGAGACTGCTACCCTTATGGAGGAATATTACATGAAAGTGGGGGGAAGCACTGAATATGATAAAGAAGCAATAGGTACAGTACCCTCGGATAGTGTTACATACCCTGGGTAGAGTGTCAAGAGGGGTGGGGGGTACAATTTTAGACACGGCAGCTCAAAAAGGCATGATGGCGTCAATGAAGACCTGAAGAAGCAGGAAGAACAAACCTGATGGGACGTCTGAGGGACAAACACTCCAGGGACCGAGATCTGTGGGCATAAAAGAAGATCCTGGGGTGACCAGGAGCGTCTGGGGAACAGCTAAGAGATCGGTGTATCTGAAGAAGAATGAGTAAAGCAAGTGTGGCAGGTGATGGGAGCCAAAGAGGACTTGACTTCACAGTGAGACTGCTGACCACAGGGGGCTCCACAGGTCATGATAATAAAGAGCATGGCCCTCATGGAGCCACATGGGAATGCAGAGTTCAGTGTGGGGAGAAAATGGGCACAGTAGAACGATCTGCATGGGACCCATCTGCCTGCTTTATTTAAACCACAGGCAAGGGATGACGGAGGCTGAGACTCTGGTGTAGTGCTAGAGAGGAGAATCATATCATCAACACTGACCTCAGAAATCAGGCACCAGTGTCAGGAATCAAAGACAATGAAGCATCAAGAGACACAGGACCCCAAGAATACCCAAAGCTGAGGACAGTTCTACACCTTCTGCTTTATAGACACTTAGCCCATGGCTTCCCGGATACTTTAGTGAGGAGGAAACGGGCCTTTTTCTCTGGTCTCCTGTACAGTTGAACAAAGCAGGGATCAGAACAGCTCCCCCAAAAAACAGCTGAACGTCTGCATATAACTTTTGACTCCCCCAAAATTTAACTAACAGCCTACTGTTGACTGACTGGAAGCCTTGCTGATCACATAAATAGTGGATGAACACATATTTTGTGTATTATATATATTCTTACAATAAAGTAAGCTAGAGAAAAGGAAACTAATTTATTAAGAAAATCATAAGGAAGGGAAAATATGTTTACACTACTGTCCCGTGTTCACTAAAAAAATCCACATAGAAGTGGACTCATGCAGCTCAAACCTGTGTTGGTTCAAGGGTCGACTGTATATGCAAGTTCTTCGGAAGACTTATTTATGTGCTGAATTTAACTCCTCTCCTCTCTTTCATTCTTCAACCTCTTCAAACATGGATTCTTTCTGTATCAGTCTTCTAAAATTATTGCCAGACCCAGTGGACACCTTTAAGGTTCCATGTTACTAGACCTTCCAGCAGCATCCAGGCCTGATTGACTATGCTATCTTTCTAAACACAATCTTCTCTTGGCTTTCATGGCACCAGCCTTCCTAATTCTCCCCCAAATCATTTAGCTGCTCTTTTTCAGTCTCCCCAACCTGGGTCCTCTGCTTCCTCCTACCATGTTGGAATTTGCCAAGGCTCAGACCTGGACCTCTTCTCTTCTTACTCCGTATTACCCACCTACATGGTGGCAGGAGTCCCACTGCCTGCAAGAACAGCTGTGGCCAGCAACTCCCCAAATTAACCTACGCCCTGACCTCAGTCTGACACCTATAACTGCGTTCTCCAACCATTCTCCTTGTGTGTCTAAGAGGCATCTCAAACTCACGCATCCAAACAGAATTCTTGAGGCCTCACCCGACCCCCAAATATATCCCGTCTTCTCTAGTTCATTCCTGTAATGATAACTTTAAAGTGTTTCCAACCTTTAGTAATCATAGAAGTTCTTAGAACAAAATGGAAAGATCTGTTAACACAGCGCCCCCATTCCCAAAGAGTGAAGATCAGTTCTGGGAAGCCCACGCATGTGCCGATCTTCAAATCCCAGGCTGGCTCACGTCACACAAATGGGCCACCCATGTGACTCCTGGAGGCCTTGGACCTTGCTCAGAGCCATCCACACTGGCCTGAATTTCATTCCTTAAATGAGCCAGGCTCTTTTCTGCCTCAGCACCTGCCCTCTGCCAGGAAGACAGCCCCTCCCAACCCGGGTTGCTTCCAAGGTGCCCCGACTCACCCTGCAGATTTCAGTCAAATGTTACTTCCATTGGCCTCATCCTCAGGCGCCATGGAAATTCTCCTGTCACACACTCCTTCAGAGCACTCCCTACAATTTCCAATTCTGCTCACTTGTGTTCTTACCGGTTTAGTGCCACCTGCCCTCACTCAGGCTGTAAACTCCGGAAGCCCGTTATCTATGCCGTTCTCCGCCCCCCGCCGCAATAACCAGTGCCTGGGACACAATCAATATCCAACAAATATTGGTTACACGATCAAAAGAATGAATGCTGTCTACTTTACAGTATGCTGAGGTTCAGTGTCCTCATCTGTAATATGATGACAATGATATTTTCCCTTCTCTGACAGATTAAATAAAACCATGAAGTAGCATACCATTTTATTACATTTTTATTCTCCAAGAGAGAAAGACTGTTCTATGCACATTTGGATCACCAGCACCTGGTATAAAGTTACTATCCACCAAATGTGTGTTGGATTGAATTGTTATTACTATCTGTCTGCAGAGAGAGAAAAACAAGAGTTGATTTCAGTTCCCCACTCAACAATTAATGCTCCTATTCATCTGTCTCAAAAAGATCCTCTGACCTGATCATAAGGTGTGGAAATCTTACAGTAAGCATCTTTGGGCTAAATCAATAAATTTACAGCCTAGAACCAAGTTGTTTTTTTTGGGGGGGGGGGTGTTTTCTTTTCCTTTTTTTTTTTTTTTTTTTTTTTGCCCTGATCAAGTTTCTATTTCATATCTGCTTGATTTATTTTTTGGAAGGTGTGTGTAGTTTGTCAATAAAGGTGATGCTCGTGGCTTGAAGGTTTGGTGAGCAAGAAAACAGGTGCAGATGACAGGAAGTCTGCCTTCATCCCAAGTCAAGTATCTACTTTATCCGTAGAGCAAAGGTTGGAGCGAAGCTATGTAGTGGTGAGGAGGGGAGACCCAAAGCTGGCCTGGGGGGGGGGGGGGGTCAGTGTGAGGATCCTCGTATTCGTCTGAAAGGCTCCGAACATGACCTCCACGATTCTGCAACACACGTGGGACTACAACCCACATGGGATTGTAACCCACATGAAGTCGGTGTACGTGGCCTATCTGTGGCTCCCCTGTCCAATTTACATGCTGGTGTGTGTTTGGGAAGAGTGAGAACAGAGTGAATGTGTACTGAGCCTCTACCGTGTGCAGGAACGAGGCATCCTCACAACCGACTTAACCCCCACTTAGAAGGCACTCTTATCCCTTTTCAGAGATGTAGAAACTGAGGTTCGAGTGGATTCAGTGGCGCAAGCTCGTAACGTTGGCAAGCGGTGGAAGGCAGGGCCGCCTGCGTGTAAGAATGAACACAAAGAACAACACAATCCAACAAAGCAAGTAGTCAACCAGACACTTAATAAGTGTCAGGGTCTACACTGTGGCACAGAGCAGCAAACACCTGATCGCTTCGTACTTGAGCCGGTGTGGTCCCATCTCAGCACATAGCACAAGAACGCTGCAGGAACAAGAGCTTTGGAGTCAGAGCTGGACTTGAATTCTTTCTCTGCTGCGGATGAGCTGCGTGGTGCCGGGCTCTGCTAAGCTTCTCTGGACCTCTGGTCAGGCCGCCATGTGCTATCCAGCCTATGAATGACGCATAAGGGCTCTGCCTCGAACCCAGCCTATTTGCAGCTGAAGCTTAAGGCACCAATCACCAGGTGACAGTGCCTTCCTCCCCCCACGCCAAGACAGTAAACACGGAGAAAACTGTAAGCTTTTTCTGTTCACTCATTGCTTTTTGCAATAATGTTCCCTAACCCGGCATCGTGTGTTTACGCATAATCACCAGGAAAATGTAAAGGCAGAAAGGTCGGGAGACATTCGCTCAGGTCAGGTACAAACCAGCCAGCCCGATCTGATATCATGACGGACAGGAAATTACTAGAAGCCCAATACCATCCGTGGGAGTCTACTTCGGGTATTACTTTACCTTAAATGTATTCCTAGAACTCCACACCCACCCACAGATGTTAAGGATTTGTTATTTGCATGACATGACTGTGTTTTTCTCAACACCACCTTCCGTGGGCCTGAAGAACAAGGCGGGGGAGGCCAGGAAGGAGAGGGAAGAGGCAGGCCACTTTATTATTTTTAAAACAGAATTTCTAAGCAGGTGCGTTTGTGTTTCTTACCTTAGGCCAGGCTCCTCTCCTTGCCGTCGCTTCAGAGAAAAGCAGCAGCTGGGTCGATCTGGCTCGGAGGTGATGCTCTTCAACAGAACCATTGCAGGAATCTTGGGGGCTACTGAATATTTGAAGGGTCTGGGCTTCCATGAAGAGAATACAAAAAAAGAATGAAGCGTTTCATACTTGTGAGTGGTGGTTCTCCACTGTGGGCTATTTTGCACCCCTGAAGACAGCTGCCAACATCTGTACTCGTTCTTGCTTGTCACAGCTGGGGAGGCTGCCGGCACCCAGTGGGGAGATGCTGCTGATTGTCGGACGGTGCACGGGACAGCCCACCCCCACCCCAACACACACACACACACACACACACACACACACACACAGAGGAAAGAATTCTTTTGCAACAATGTCAACAGTGCCAAGGTTAAGAAACCCTGCTTTTGAGGGAGTACTCCCGGTTTCGAAATGTTTTTAATTTCATCTTTGGAAAAGCAAATTACAGATTCTCAGCCTGCCAGTGAAATGATCTTTCTAGAACACACTCCTTGAGAGTCTTTCCTAAGTGAGCCCCCGCGGCTCCCTGTCCCTTCCAGAGCCGTCTGAAACCTTCAGCACAGCACACAGGAATGTCCAGGACCCTGGACTGGCGACCTTCACCTTGTCCTCTCCGTCCCCTCTCAGACCCAATCGTGCTGGACTTCCTGCATCACCCAAAACAGCCCTGAAGCTGCACAGCCTCCTCACTCAGCCTGGTAAGCCTTTCCTCCCTTCACGACCTCGCAAAACTCTCTGCATCCCCCAAGCCTCCGCCGGTCACCTTCTTCACCTTTCTGGAAACCCTTCCTTCTCAGGGTAGGGTTCGTGGAGCAAAGGCAAAGGCATCACCTGGGAGTTTATTAGAAAAGCAGAAATCTCTGGCCCTCACCACGGACTTAGGGAATCGGAATCTGCCTTTCAAGATCCCAGGGGCTCCGTTTGCCCTGAGAAGTGCAAAAGGATTCTTGTCCACAAGGGGAGCTGCCTGCCACATCCTCTCCACTCCCAGGAAGAGACCCCGACTCACAAATGATTTCCTGTACAGCAATTGTCTGTTTGTGTGTATGTCTCTCTCTCCACTTTGTGACCCTGATCTGCAGACGGATGATATTTTATTTATGTGTGTATCACTGGCATCAAAATAGACCAGACGCATAGCAGACACCTGATATATTATAGCTAAACAAATGAACAGTCTACCAATCTGCGCTCCCCCCCATCAGCAACCCGCACCTCCCCCCAACCCCCGCCAGTCCCTGCCAGATGGAAAGCTGTGTCCTTCTCCAGACAGCTGAGGCCAGTGTAGGTCCAACGCCGGCCATGGGGACGCGATACCATCTCAGCAATCCCACCCACTGGTACTTAGAATGAAGACGACTCAAGCCCTATCCTGTAAAATCCCGATAAAGCTTATGGTGTGCCGGGCCCTGTGCTTGGCAGAGGGGGTGCAACAATGAAAAAACACCCCCAGGCCCTACTTTAGCTGGGGCTGGAGTCAGAAATGAGCTAGTCATCACAGGTGCTGGGTCACAGGGGAAGCCCAGAGTGCTGTGGGAACAGGTGTGATGTGTGGGGCTGGGAGGCGCACCTGCTAACATGGTCTTCTTCCTTGGGGTGACATTTTAGCTTAGGGGTTAAGGGGAAAGAGGAATTAGGCAGGAGAAATGGAGTGAAGGTCTTCCAGGATGAGGAAACCCACCCGTTGGAGACCCAAAGACAGAGAGTGTGATGAGTTCACAGAATTCATGGTATTTCATGGTAGAAATGCCACGGGGGCACAGATGATCTGCTAATTATGATCCTCTGTACCCACACTTTTCTGATCTTTGCTCGACCAGTGCTTTCTTTCCTAGCTGGATTTGTGACCTTTTGAATGGATAGCCCTATTAAGCCAAGGCCCATAGGGCTTTCTAGAAGGCCAGACCATGCTTATCCAAAATGCCATCTTTTACTGGTTTCCTGCCACTTTTAGATGAGGTGGTTCACACCGTTCAGTCATTCACCCACCCACTGGCTCACTTACTCATTCCGTGTATGTATTGAGTCCTTCTACAAGCCAAGTCCTGGGGACACAGAGGTGAACAAAACAGACATAACAAGCCCACACCCAAACCTCCCTCTTTCTGGACTGCCAGGGGCTGGGGAGCAGGAAGTGGGGACAAGGGAAAGGAGAGCTCCCAGGGTAGACCCACAGCCTGGGCTTGGCCTCTACACCTGATCCCACCACAAGAGGCCCCACCTGCCCAGAGACTCATAGCCAGCCACCACATCCTCCAGGCCACTGTCGTGACCCCCATTTCTGCACGCCCCCTAAATAAATGGGAGTGAGTGGGCATTCTCTAGGGCATCTGCATTCATGATTTTTTTTAAAGATTTTAAAGATTTATTTGAGTGAGAAAGAAAATGAGAAAGAGAGCACAAGCAGGGGGAGTGGCAGAGAGCAGTAGAAGGAGAAGACTCCCCGCTGAGCAGGGAACCTGACGCGGGGCTCGATCCCAGGACCCCAGGGATCATGACCTGAGTCGAAGGCAGACGCCCTGCATTCGTGATTCTTAAGGTGCTACTGAGCATGAGGATCATCCAGGATGGAGCAGACTTCCCTGACTGATAGCGCTTATCTGGTCGACTCTGTCTCAAGAGAGATTCATTCTGTAATTTCTGGGGCCTCCGAGGGAATGTCTTCATATTTCTCGATACAGTAAACTGCAGTGATGTCACTATTCACTGGCCCTAACAGCGCCACCACCAGAGAGTTGGATATTACCAGGCATTAAGTTATTACCTATAATTACTTTGTTTTACTCTCCGTTTTAGCGAGACAAGCCATTCAGACCAGGCAGGACCTGAGCATCATCTGCTACTTGTATGTGGGTTAAACAAAGCTCCATCCAGAGCATGGAGCGTTATCTACAATCCTCCCTGGGCTGTCCCATTGGTCTTCTTGCTATGCCTTCTTACTAGGATTATTATTATAATAACGATCTTTATCAGGGATCAGCAAACTAAGGCCTGGGGGCAATTCCGGCCAGCCATCTGCTTTATTTGTAAATTGAATTTTACTGGAAAACGACCGTACCCATTTGTTTACTTACTGTCTGTGCTGCTTTCGTGATAAAACAGCTGAGCGGTTCCAACAGAGATGGTGCAACCCTCAAAGCCCCAAATATTTCCTATCAGGTCTTTTACAGAAAAAGATTGCCAACCTCTAATAGCTGATGTTTCTATAGCTCAAATCCTGTGCAAAATCCTTTACATGGTTTGAGTCCTCTAATCCAGTGAGAACCCATTTTGCAGGTGGAACTCTCAAGTCTCAGAAGGGATGGCCCAGCGTCCTAGAGGTGGGGTTCAAGCCTGTGTTGCATCAGCTGCGTGATTGATGCCTCCATGTGCCTCTTGAGATCCACCTGCTTGTAGATGGCAGGCCATGTCTCCTAACACCTCCCTGCTGGGGCTTCTCTCCTCCCTCGCTTCTCAAAGTGTGGCCCACGGGCCACGTGGGAGCTTGCTCGACATGCAGAATCTCGGGCCTGCCCCCGACCTAGTGGACGGGATCTGCATGCTAACTACATCCCCAGGTGACTCGGTGAACAGCCGGGTTTGGGATGCCCTGCTCTAATCCCCGCTCTGATAATATCCTGGTGGCAATGCCATGGGCCTCGGCCAGCACAGTGCAACAGCTTCATATCCTCACCTTCTGGCCAAGTGGATTTCTGTGCTGGTGTCCATTCTTTAATCCTTTTGAAAAAGCCAGGCCATTCTGTCTCCCAAGGCTCTGTGGTTGGAACTCTGACACCTGCCGTGGTTCCTGGGCACCTCCTCTCTTCAATATGTGTCCTTTATACCTTCCCCTGTCTCCTCTGCACCTTCTGCAATGTGACTTCTAATGCTTCCCCAATAATACGCTGTTGGCACTGAGTATCCTATTCTATCATGCTAGGGCAAGACATGCCTGCTGGACACTCACAGAGATAAGCCACTGCTGCCCTCCCAAGCTTGACCTTGAGGGTTTATCCTCACCCTGGCTCATAGTCCTGATGCCCCAGCCAGCCTCCTGCCTGAGATGTGGCCCTCGGGAACCCCTTCTGGGCAACGTAAAGGAGGCTCGCCCTCTCCTTCAGGTGAGATGCCTTGTCCATGAGAGTCTGGAATACGCCTCACGTGGCCCCAGGCTCAGCAGAGAAAGACGCTCAATCATGGCTTGATGGTCAAGCAGCTCATCTGGGCACTCTATGAATCTGGAAACTGTACTTCTGACCTCGGGTCTCCCCCACCTTCACCTTCCTATCTCTCAAGCATAGAAGAAAGAAAGAAAGGGGGTCAGCCGATGGCTTGAGTGACCAGAGCCGAGTGATGCCAGACAACACATTCTATGCATCCGACCTGTTCCCTGCCCCAGTATTTGGTACCTTGGCCTCCTAGGGACTCGGCAGCGGCAGATGTCACAAGGTCCCTGCACAGCCAGCCAGGCTGAGCTTGCTCCGTGTGCCGACCTCCCCAAATCGGCCAGATCTTCCCGCACAGATGCCAGCAGGCTTCTCCTCTCTCTTCCCACACCTATGATTCATCCACCCCCTCCCCTCTTTTCTATCACAAACACACATCTGTTCCGACTTAGGATAACTAAAGGAAAATTAAGTGAATCTGTTTCGTGTGTCTCCAGGGTTATTTATAGGACTTTAATACAGGCTGATACAAAATAAAGAAATAAAGAGAGAAATAAAAATAAGTTATCTTCTCAGGAAGCCAAGCAAAGTTTAAGGAAGAGGAAAATAAGTCATGTCCTTCGAGCTGATGAAGCTGTAAGCGTCTTTGGTTTATCACCGTCTTTCTTCCAGGTTCTGTGAAAATCAATGAGGCCTGTTGGATTTTGAGAGATCAATATTAAAAATACGCACTTTGCAATGCAGAACATTTGCTCCGTGCGTGCACTTCAAGGGGCCGGCCTGCTGACGGAGCCATCCTAATCAGGCACTTGGAAGAGAGTACATATTGACTGTTGGGATAAGGGGATCGCTGGGTCCTTCTCTGGCTGCCCCTTCGACTTCTGTCCGGGTGCTCTGGGCTGCCCAGCCGTGGTGGGCAGCTCGGGCTCCAGACCACCGAT